AAAATAACCTACAAAGGAATTGTTATCAGGCTTTCAGCAGATTTCTCTGCAGAAACCTTACAGGCTAGAAGAGACTGGAATGAGATATTCAAATCTTTGAAGGGCAAAACCTTTCAGCCAAGAATATTCTACCCAGTAAAAATATCCTTCAGATATGATGGAGAAATAAAAGCTTTCCCAGACAAACATAAGCTAAGGGAGTTCATAGCCATGAGACCTCCCCTACAAGAAACCCTCAAGAAGGCCCTCATACCCGAAAAAAAAAATAAAAGGGAGAAAGGGGTTACAAAGCCTGGAGTAAGGAGATAAAAAATAGGTAGACAAAATCAGAAAATTGTACCTATGTATGCATCAGAACAGGTTAGCAAGTACTCAAGAATAGCGTTAAAGATAAAGGGAAGGAAAATACAGTCTTTTCCAAAACAAAAGATAATCTCGTTTATCAAAACAAAGACAATCTTGTCATTTTAACCACAAACTGACTACACAAGATGGAATAAGATGTGAGACAAACAACATAGGAGGGGAAGAGGAAAGGGACTGAACTGGTTTAGTCTAAGGAAATAAGAGGCCATCAGAATAGGGACTGTCTTATCTACAAGATTTTGAATACAAACCTCACTGTAACCATGAAACAAAAAAGCAGAACAGACACAAATAATAAATAAGGAGAAAACAAGGAAACACAACATAAAAAACTACCTAACTCAATTGGTAGACCAAAATCCACTAGGAAGAGAAACAAAGGAAATTCAGGAGAACTGGACAATGAGTGATAAAACGGCAGCATTGAGCCCTCATATATCAATAACGACCCTAAAAGTAAATGGATTGAATTCTCCAATAAAAAGACACAGAGTAGCGAGATGGATTAAAGAATAAGACCCAACAATATGCTGCCTCCAGGAAACACATCTCAGCTCCAATGACAAACACAGGCTCAGAGTGAAGGGATGGAAGATCATACTCCAAGCTAATGACAAACAAAAGAAAGCAGGTGCTGCAATACCTACATCAGACAAAGCAGACTTCAAGATAAGACAGGTAAAGAGAGACAAAGAGGGCAGAATATAATGATCAAAGGGACATTCCATCAAAAAGACATAACACTTATAAATATCTATGCACCCAACACAGGAGCACCAAAGTACATAGAGCAAAAATTAATAAACCTAAAAGAAGACATTAACAATAACACAATAATAGCAAGGGACCTCAACACTCCACTTACATCGATGGATAGATCATCCAGACAGAAAATCAACAAGGAAACAGTGGAATTAAATGAAAAGCTAAACCAGATGGACTTAATGGACATATATGGAACACTCCATCCAAAAACAGCAGAATACACGTTCTTCTCAAGTGTACATGGAAGATTCTCAAGAATAGACCATATATTGGAAAAGAAGGCAAGCCTCAATAAATTTAAGAAGTTGAAATAATAACAAGCATCTTTTCCAATCACAATGCTATGAAGCTAGAAATTAATTACAAGAAAAAAGCTGAGAAAAGGACAAAGATGTGGAGACTAAACAACATGTTATTGAACAACCAATGGATCATTGAGGAAATTAAAGGGCAATTAAAAAATACCTGGAGACAAATGAAAATGAAAACATACCATACCCACTCATAAGGGACGCAGCAAAAGCCGTATTAAGAGGGAAATTCATCACAACACTGGCAAACCTTAACAAACAAGAAAAATCCTAAATAAGCAATCTCAAACTACACCTAACTGAATTAAAAAAAGAAAAACAAACAAAGCCCAAAGTCAGCAGAAGGAGAGAAATAATAAAAATCAGAGCAGAAATAAATCCTATTGAAACAAAAAAGGCAATAGAAAGGATTAGTGAAACAAAGAGCTGGTTCTTTGAGAAGATAAGCACAACTGACAAACCCCTAGCCAGTCTTACAAAGAAAAAAAGAGAGAAAACTCAGACAAAGAAAATTAGAGATGAAAGAGGAGAAATAACAACGGATAGCACAGAAATACAATGGATTATAAGAGAATACCACAAAAAGCTATGTGCCAACAAAATGGACAAAGTAGAGGAAATGGATAAATTCTTAGACTCTTACAACCTCCCAAAACTGACCCAAGAAGAAATAGATAATCTGAGTAGACCAATCACAAGTAAAGAGATTGAAACAGCCATCAAAAGCATCCCAAAGAATAAAAGCCCAGGACCGGACGGCTTCCCTGGGGAATTCTACCAAACTTTCAGAGAGGATTTAATACCTATCCTTCTCAAGCTGTTCCAAAAAATTAGGGAAGATCGAACGCTTCCTAACACATTCCACGAGGCCAACATCACTCTGATACCAAAGCCTGACAAGGACAACACAAAAAAGGAAAACTACAGGCCAATATAGATGATGATGAACATAGATGTTCATCAAAATATTAGCAAATCAAAATATTAGCAATCAAATATTAGCAAATCAAATACAACAATACATCAAAAAGATCATCATGATCAAGTGGGATTTATTCCAGGGACACAGGGATGGTTCAACATCCGAAAGTCAATCAACGTGATCCACCACATTAACAATGTGAGGAATAAAAACCACATGATCATCTCAATAGATGCAGAGAAAGCATCTGACAAGATCCAACAGCCATTTATGATAAAAACTCTGAACAAAATGGGTATAGAAGGAAATTACCGCAACATAATAAAGGCCATATATGACAAACCCACAGCCAACATCATACTCAATGGGGAAGAACTGAAAGCCATCCTTCTGAGAACAGGAACCAGACAAGGATGCCCACTCTCACCACTCTTATTCAGCACAGTACTGGAGGTTTTCGCCAGAGCAATTAGGCAGGAGAAAGGAATAAAAGGAATCCAAATAGGGAGTGAAGAAGTGAAACTCTCACTGTTTGCAGACGACATGATCTTATATATAGAAAACCCTAAAGAATCCATCGGAAAACTATTAGAAATAATTTACAGTAAGGTTGCAGGGTACAAAATCAACTTACAAAAGTCAGTTGCATTTTTATACGCTAATAACGAACTTACCGAAAGAGAATTTCAGAATACAATTCCACAGGCCAGCCCGGTGGCGCAGCAGTTAAGTGTGCATGTTCCGCTTCAGCGGCCCAGGCAGGTCCGACAGTTCAGATCCCGGGTGTGGACATGGCACCACTTGGCAAGCCATGCTGTGGTAGGTGTCCCACATATAAAGTAGAGGAAGATGGGCACGGATGTTAGCTCAGGGCCAGTCTTCCTCAGCAAAAAGAGGAGGATTGGCAGCAGATGTTAGCTCAGGGCTAAACTTCCTCAAATAAATAAATAAAAAAAAGAATATAATTCCATTTACAATTGCAACAAAAAGAATAAAGTATCTAGGAATAAATTTAACTAAGGAGGTGAAGGACTTATACAATGAAAACTATAAGACATTACTGAAAGAAATCGATGATGACATAAAGAGATGGAAAGAGATTCCATGCACATGGACTGGAAGAATAAACATAGTTAAAGTGTCCATACTACCCAAAGCAATCTGCAGATTCAGTTCAATCCCAATCAGAATCCCAATGACATTCACGGAAATAGAACAAAGAATCCTAAAATTCATGTGGGCAACCAAAAGACCCTAAATTGCTAAGGCAATCCTGAGAAAAAAGAACAAAGCTAGAGGCATCACAACCCCTGACTTCAAAATGTACTACAAAGCCATAGTGATCAAAACAGCACGGTACTGGTACCACAAAAAGGCACACAGATCAATGGAGTAGAATTGAAAGCCCAGAAATAAAACTGCACATCTACAGGCAGCTAATCTTTGACAAAGGAGCCAAGAACATACAATGGAGAAAAGACAGTCTCTTCACCAAATGGTGTTGGGAAAACTGGACAGCCACACGCAAAAGAATGAAGTAAACCATTATCTCACAAAAGTAAGCTATACACAATATTAAACTCAAAATGGATCAAAGACTTGAGGATAAGTCCTGAAACCATAAAACTCCTGGAAGATAATGTAGGTAGTACACTCTTTGACATCGAACTTAAAGGGATCTCTTTGAATACCATGTGTTCTCAGACAAGGGAAACAAAAGAAAAAATAAACAAGTGGGACTTCATCAGACTAAAGAGCTTCTACAAGGCAAAAGAAACTAGGATCAAAACCAAACAACAACCGATCAACTGGGAGAAAATATTTGCAAATCCTATATCTGACAAGGGGTTAATCTCCATAACGTATAAGGAACTCACACAACTGAACAACAGAAAAACAAACAACCTGATCAAAAAACGGGCAGAGGATATGAACAGACATTTTTCTGAAGAAGATACACAGATGGCCAATAAACATATGAAAAGATGTTCAACATCACTAAGAAACAGGGAAATGCAAATGAAAACTACACTAAGATACCACCTTATGTCTGTTAAAATGGCTATAATCACTAAGACTAAAATTAACAAATGTTGGAGAGGGTGTGGAGAGAAGGGAACCCTCACACAGTGCTGGTGGGAATGCAAACTGGTGCAGCCACTATGGAAAACAGTATGGAGATTTTCCAAAAAACTAAAAATAGAAATACTACATGACCCAGCTATCCCACCACTGGGTGTCTACCCAAACAAGTTGAAATCAACAATCCAAAGTGACATATGCACCCCTATGTCCATCGCAGCACTATTCACAATAGCCAAGACATGGAAACTATCTGAGTGCCCATTGACCAATGACTGAATAAAGAAGATGTACTATATAGAAACAATGGAACACTACTCAGCCACAAAAAACACAAATTCATCCCATTTGCAACAACATGGAACGACCTGGAGAGAGTTATGCTAAATGAAATAAGCCAGACTGAGAAAGACAAACACCAGATGATTTCATTCATATGTGGAATATAAACAAACACATGGACAAAGAAAACAGTTCAGTGGTTACCAGAGGAAGGGAGGTGAGGGGTGGGCACAGGGGGTGAAGGGGAGCACTTATGTGGAGACAGACAAGGGGTAATGTGCAACTGAAATTTCACAATGATGTAAACTATTAGGAACTCAATAAAAATTCTTTTTTAATAATGAGATGGGCACTCTGTGTTTTGCTGGGCCTGGTTGTGGCTCAGGGCCAAGGCTCAGTGTGTGCCCCATTTCGTGAATGCCCCTTCTACAGCCTCGCCTCTTTCTGATCAAGCATGCATTACCCTAGCAAAGACCTCAGGGCCGACGATGCCAGATGCCCCCCTCCTGCCTGCTGCTGGGCACACAGGAAGAGCATGTGTTAGGCCTCCCTTGCAGTTAGAGTGGACCAGTGACTGCGTTCCAGACAATGATCACTCGTGAAGTTCACCTGTACGACTCCAGGCCTGGCCACCAACATCCGTGCAGTCCTCTTAGCTCTCTCTGCTTGCCCACTGGCCAGAGGAATGCAGAAGGCCAGCAGAGGGCTCTGAGCAGGCCCTAGAAGACAGGTTTAACAGGAGTCAGGAACCCTGCAGAAGGTCTCCTGGTGAACAACTGACCGCACCAAGGTGTGAGGGGAGCAAACCTCGACTGGGGTAAGCCACTAGCAAGGTGGCGTGGCTGTCACAGCAACTGGTAAAAATTATTTCGACAAAGTCTCCACGGGCAGCTGGATTTTGAAAATACTCATGAAGGAGAAGATCATCAGGATGATGTCACGGTGACTGTTGGGATAGATTGATGGTGATGACATTTTGCTTCTAATGGGGATAAGGTCCATGGCTTTTTGGAGCTAGAGGTGACAGAGGTGGTAGGGAGATGGCGGTGGGGGGGTTAATGTCAACTCATGTGGCTGATGTCTGTGGCTGTGACGGAGAGAACGGAAGAGGTGGCAAGTGTGAGGCTAGTGTGCAGGCCGTGGTGGGAGCCGGTGGTGGTAGAGATGGGGTTGATGGCTGTGGGGGAGGGGAGAATGTGTCCCTGGCTGTGGAGAGAGGACTGTGGCTGACTGTGGTTCTACAGGGGACAGTGGTGGCCGGTGGAGCATGGTTGGTTGTGGTGGTGGGAGATGTTGATGCTGGGGTTGGTGGCTGTGGAGTGGGTGGGGATTGTTCAGATGGCTCTGTTGTGGTGGCCTTGCTGCCTGGGATGGAGTTGGTGGGGACGATGGAGACGGTGAATCGAACTTCCCAGTGGACCTGTTTTCCTGGTGCTCTCGTGTGAATCCATTATCTACCTTGGGAAATCCCTGCCTGGCCACTGGAGTTCCCTCCACTCCTCTCCACCCTCGGGGAAGTCGCCAATCGCCTGGATGGTGACACTGGCCTGCCAGGCTCCTGGGAGTTTCTCCCTGGACCAAAGCGCTCAGCCAATGGGATCAAGGCTTGTGATTGCTGCAGCACCAGACCTGTGGCCACGTGCATTGGCCTTACGAAGGAGCACGGGCAGAATTTAGGGGCACCCTCATGGGGACTTGGGGGCTGAAGGGTCTTAGTTGTATGGGACCCCAGGGGCCAGGAAGATTTCAAGGGAGCACTTTTCAGATGTGAAGGGGACCTGTCTGGGACCATGCCTGTGAAGTGACTGTCGGGGCTCTGGGCCCGCATCCTCCTCCGTACAGTGTGGGAGAACAGGACCTTCCTCCCGGGTTTTCACAGGGTACAGAAGAATGCCCCCTGTGAAGGGCTTCCCACAGGGCATCATACATACGACGTGCCCATAAGTAGATGCCGGCTTTGACTGTTGATCTCCTTAGGCAGCCGTGTTACAGCTGGTTCCTAATGCAGATAGCACGGACTCTCAGCCTGTGGACTCCATCCAGTCCATTAATATATTTTATTTGTCTGCTGATATATATTTACAATTTTTTTGATTTAATTGCTAACACTTGAATAATTTAGAGATTTCACATAAAAATCTAGATTTCCAATATTTCTGGAAGAACGGAAGACTGGGCACCTGGGTCCACATCCACATGGCGACATTCGGCTGGGCCTCTTTGGATGGAACATGGGCTCCCTGGTCTGCCACAGTCTCCACCACTCCCTACTGCCCACCCCTCCCCCTGAGTTTGGGGTTCCTGTTTCAGACTCACCTCTGTGGGGAGGTGCCCTCCAGGGGCTCTCTGTGCCTGCTTGGCCTTCCTTGTGGCACCCTCTGACCCACAGGCCACCCCCAGTTGGCACTGTTCTTATCAGCTCACAGGTCTGCGGGCCCACCACATGGAAGTCCCTGAGGGAGGGACCTTGGTGTACTCAGATTTGGATGTCGCTTGGCCAGTAAGGATCCTATAAAAGTTGTCTCGTATTTTAACTGCTGGCATCAGAATTCCTCAGAGGGAGAGAAGTGTCTTGTTTGAAGAATGTGGTGACGTTGCTTGGGGTGGAAGGGGCATCCCGAAGCTGGAAGTTTCTGATGTCAGCACGTGGAGGGGAGTTGTTTGCGTGAGAAAGGGAGGAATTCGTTGTTTCTTTTCTGAAGAAGGGTAGAGAGGGGGAAAAGGAGAGAGAAACTAGTGCAGGAGGAGGTGAGAGAGAACGGGGCCGGGTGAGCCCAGGCCATTTTGGGGACAGTGAAGTGCCCTTTGAGGTATGTCTCTTGCGGAGGTGGAAATCTCTCCTCTCCCCCTGCCCGGGGTCTTCAGGGCCTCCTGCTCTGCCCAACTGCTGTGTTGTGAGAACAAGCTTTTTGTGGAATTGGGAGAGGGGCCGAACAGGGACGTGAAATGGGCCTGGGCTGTCTGGGCAGCCCATGTGGGAAGCAGGAGCCGGCAGACAGAGGACGGCAAAAGAACCGGAGTCCTGGGACCAGCAGACCAGGCCCAGACATCGTGGACCCGGGGGTGGCTGGTGGGGGGCAGCCCACTTTACTAGGAACTAGGCGGGCAGAGAAGTCCCAACTGATATCTGATAATAACAAAATGGACTCAGGTTTTCAGAAAAAGCCAGACTCAGGTGCTGAGAGGAAAAGACATCTCTGAGCTTAGATAAAATGGCTGAGCAGCCGGTTTATTTTGAGCTCCTGGTGGTTCGGGCTGACCAGGCTGCTGGGGTCGGAGGAAGGGCTCAAGTCCTGGCCCCTGGCCTGGGGTGACCCTGGGGGCCTGGGCTCAGTCCAGGGGCTGTATGGTGGTGCATAGCAGGCCAGCCAGGAGAACGAGGCCCAGCACGGCCACGACAACCAGTGCCACAAGCCCCCAGACTCCCGGGGGGGTCCAGGATGCCTGCTGCTGCCAGCCACAGTTGCCCAGCTGGTAGCCTGTCAGCTGGCCCAGCGGGCGGCTGGTGGCGAGGTCGGGGGTGGCACAGCGAACAAGCAGCAGGGCCTCGGGCACGCGGTCCTCCAGCCAGAGGCGCAGGTAGGTGAGGCTGCAGTCACAGTGCCAGGGGTTGTTCAGCACATCGAGGGTCCGCAGCTGGGGCAGGTGGTCGAAGGCACCCGGGGGTATGGAGCGAAGGCTGTTATTGGCCAGCAGGAGGTGGCGGGTGTGGACCGGCAGGGCAGGCAGGTCTGTGAGTCCCCGCCCCTCGCAGTCCACCCGCAGCCCCATGGTTTCCAGGGCGTGGCAGGTGCACTGTGTGGGACAGTCCTTGGTGGCCTCCGCCGCAGCCCAGAGCAGGAAGAGGGCCCCCCAGGCAGGCATTGAGCAGGCTGGCTGTGGAGAGAGTAACCGCGAGGTGAGGGAGGGCCTGGCAGCTGCACCTCATCCTGAGGGCCAGTGGGCACTGTGGGTGCAGTGGGACCTGACCTGGGACAAGGGACAACTCACTTCCCACCTCGGGCCTCAGCTTTCTCCTCTGTGAAATGGAGTGAAGACTGAAGGAAGTGAAGCGGGCCAAACCCAGGCCTGGCTGGCCCTCACCAGACACTCAGAAGGCAGGACAGGGAGTGTGGCCACGCTGGGGAGGGGGCGCGGGTAAGCATGTTCTTGGGAGGGGGAAGGGACTTCCTGGCCCCTAGCAGAGACCCCAGCCCCGGCTCAGGGGTAGGGAGAGCAGATGCCCGCTAAGTGGCCCCCAGGCCTGGCCCCCGGCCCCCAGAGCTGGCAAAAGGGCCTTGGAATCGCCTTCCCCAGCTGCTCTCAGCCTCCACACCTCAGCCAGGGGTCAGGCCGCTGGGGTAGACCTGAAAGACCACCTCGTCCCATGGACTCCAAAGAGCTTGGCCAAAGCTAAGTGAACTCTGACGTGATGCCTGATGCAGGAGACAGCAGCGTGAGGATGCTGAGGCAGCGACAGGGGGGCGAACCCAGGAGGGGCTCTGTCTGGAATGCCGTTGGTCTAGGCTAATGCTCGGAGCTGAGGAAATGGAGCACCAGCAACGGTCCGGGACTTGTGCAGGGTCACCCCACGGTCCGTGTCAGGGACCAGACTCAAACAAGTTTCATGAGCCCCCGTCTTCCGTCTGGTTCCTGGCCTTCCTCCAGGACTCAGTGGGGGGCTGTTTCCCCCTCTTAAGACAAGCTCTCCCCTCCAGGGCCTTCTAATGAATATTTGTTGAAGAAACCAATGAATCTGGACTCAGCTGAGGATCCAGCGTCTCGGAGTGAATGCGCCCTCCTAACCCTGTCTCTAGAGGGGAATGCTGAAGGACGGACAGAGGCAGGACTGACTGCCAGCCTCCTCTCTCTCCACCGGGCCTGTCCCACCTGGGAGGAGCCCGTAGGGTGGGAGGCTGTGCTGAGTAATAAGAGGGCCACTTACCTGTGAGGCCTGTGGTCGAGGCACCCCTCCTGTGGCCTGAACTGTCCTGTTGAGGCTGTGGTGGCAGCTCTGTGTGAGGCAGCTGATGGTGGCCACTGCTTGAGTGGGAGGAAGGAAGTGATGAAAAGAGCCCGTCTTATCCTGCGAGTGCAGCCCCGGAAGGCCTATCTCCAGAGGCAGGGAGCCCTCAGGGTGCCAGGGCCCTGGGCACAGCACCGTACGTCAACCCCAGTTTACAGAAGGGAGTCCCACAGCGCATCCCGTTGTACCGCCAGGGCCTCAGTGCCACGGGTGTGTGGGAGAACCCAGGAGGCCCTGCACCTGGTCCAGGAGGCTGGGAGGGCTTCCGGGAGGAGGAGGCCCCCGAGATGAGTGGCTCTGCTGGCTGTTCCTCTGGATCTCAGTTTTCCTCACTTGTAAAATGGGAGCAATACTCCCCGTCCGCTCGCCTCACAGAGGTGGAGGGTGGGCAGCTCCCAGGGGCTGCGAATCCTACCGAGAGGAGCGCCACTTCATTTTTAATTCTCTTTGGTCCTTCTGAATAAGTGGAGGAAAGTCTCCTTTTGAGGCCACCGCATCTTTAGCACCTTCTAGCACTTCCTGATCCTTCTTTTTAACAAGTTGCTGCAGGCCTGGGGCTCAGAGCCTCCATCAGACCGCAGCTTCCAGCTAGAAGGTAAAACCGTGGTTTCATTTGCATTGTTTCTATAGTACATTCTACTTGGTGGAGTGACATCAGCTTTCCACACATGTTACTGTTATTTATGTTAAATGTTCCCCTTTAAAAGAGAAGTGTATTTTTAATTTAATTGTATTTTTAATATTACAAAATATGAATCAAAATCAAGCCTAACAGTAAAATAGTATAAACAACTCTATTATAAAATTAAAACATTAACATATGCATTTTATAGTAAATTATAAAAATGTCCCTATGATGAACTATGAACTGAGTCAAAGGGTTTGCAGCGAGGGCACGGTTTCCACGTGCAGGTAGGGTGGGGGAACTGAAGCGTGGGAACGGCCGGGAGGAGCAATGCCTGGGAACACGAGGAAGGGGTGCCAGCAGCCCGAGGAGATGGAGCCCTTGGCTGGAGGCGCCCAGGAGAGGAGGCGGAGTAGGGGCTGCTGAGGAGAGGAAGGGGGCCCTGGATCACGGCAGTGTTGGCCGAGGACCTCAAACCTGAGAGGAGTGTGCTGGGCCCCCAGTCTGGAGGGTTCTACACCCTTCTAAAACTCAGTGGGGTTAGGGCTGGAGTCACACCTGCTCTGGAACCTGCTTGCTCCTCTGGGATCACCTGGCGGGCACTCCGTGAGGATCCCACTGAAGCCTAGACCCTGGACAGGAACTCAGCCCCTGCTCTTCCGTCCCTCGGGGACCCCAGCCTGTCCCACCTCCACCTGCCTGCACGCCTTCCAGCGGGTGGGGAAGGGCTCCTGGTGGGTGGGGGTCCCACAGCCCCAGGCCGGGTTTCCTGACCTGACCTGATTGGGCCCACCCTCTCAGTTCCTCTCGGCCCTCTGAGATTTCCTTCTTGTTTTTAGCTTGTACGACTTAAAACCACAAAAACTACACAAATAAAATATTATTTTTGTTGTGGAAAAATTAGACTATGCAGATGAGCAGGAAGAAGGCAATAAAAATTCCCCTCAACCCCAGTGTCCAGCAAGGCTGCCTTTCCTTTTGTTCCTGTGCGCATTGCTTTCTTACCTAGGTAGGGCCACTCTGCCCTCGCCCTTCTGAATCCCCTTCCCATCTGTGAACACGCTCCCGTGTGCCCCCAGCAGCAGGCGCCATTTACGGATGTGGCATCTTTTATTTGAGGAGTCTCTGGGCACAAAGGGCAGGCCCACTCTCCTTATCTCAGTGGGACAGGCCTGTGTGGGGCTGGGGGCAGCTGTTTGGGCTCCCTGAGGGAGGGGGGCTCCTCCTCCACAGCTGCCCACGTGGCCCGGCTTACTACACTCGTTCCCCTGTGGGGAAGCTGAGGCATTCTCTGCTCCTGCCCCTCAGGCTCCTTGCTAGGTCACCCCCGCCTGTATCTCTATGGAGGTCCCCGCCCTCTGCCCCTTCCTCTCAGTCTGTAAACACATTTACTACCGCCTTCGTCTGGAAAAATCTAGGGTGTGTTTTGAACACCACAGCATGCTCCCCACCAATCTACTTTTCCCTTTGCTTCACAGCCAAACCAGGTCGTCTCTGCTCCCCGGGGGCACCGAGTCCTTCCGCAGTCTTGAATTCTCTCTCTTGGCTTCAAGTCCAGCTGTGCATGCTTGGCGCGCGCATCTCCGGCTCCAGCCCAGACCTGGGCATCCTGTACCTCCGGAACCCCCCCGAGCGTCCCGCAGAGCCCTCACACTCACCACGGCCTAGACCGGACCCTGTCTCCTCCCACCCCCGAAAGCTCCCCCTACCAAGTGTTCTCCACCTTCGACAGGGCTAGCACCCTCCACCTGGTCACACCCAGGAAGCTGGCCCTCTCTCCCTCACTCCCGCCTCCTGTCACCCGCCAGGTTGGCCAACCGCTTCCTGCATATCTGTGGACTTCATCCCCTCTTCTGTGGCCCCATTCTCTGCTCGCTCTCTGTTCCCCTCCTCTGACCCTCCTTCCACCTCTCTCAAGCAACCCTCACCCCCACATTCTTCTCTGACATCCTCCTCCACTTGAAGAATGGGAACCCGGCTGTCCCCACGACCCTGTCCTTCCTGCTGCTTCTGGGTGGTTTCTCTCCTGACTCCAAGCTGCTCCTCCTCTTGGTCACTCCCCGTCCTTCATGGGTGACCTCCACTTTGGATGCAGGACTTGCTGTTCAGCATGAGTGCCGCCCTCCCTCTCCGGGACCCTTGGGTATCCTGGCCTCACAGTCTGTTGGCTTCTTTCCCCCTCCCCCCCCCCCCCCCCCCCCCCCCCCCCCCCCCCCCGCCACCGCCCCCAGTCCTGCCCAGACTGGCCCTCATCAGTACCCGCTCCTCCTTGAAGCCTTGATTCAAATGCCCCACCCCCTGCCTGCCACCTCCCCATTCCAGCTCACGTCTTTGATGCTCCAGCTCATCTCTGACTTCACCAAATCTCCAGGCCAGAGGCCCTATCACTGTCCTTTTGTCCTATTCACCATGATGGCCTTCCTTACAAGCTAACTCAGGGATGACTACTGTCCCCTAGTGTCCACTCTCCCCTTCTTTCACACAAAAAGAATTTTAACTAGACATGTGGCCTTCTAGCTAAAGACTACATTTCCCAGCCTGCTTTGCCTTTAGGTGTAGTCATATCACCAAGTGTAGGCCAATAGGAAAAGAGGGAGAAGTGATGTGAGTAGCTTCTTGCTTCTGCTTCCTGCTGGCTGCAAGGGGCTGGGGAGGACATCTCCATCCACGAGGAGTAGCCCTTAATTGAGGATGACAGAGCAAAAAGACAGAGGAGCCTGGGTCCCTAACGGTTCTGGGACTGGCATCCAGCTCTGGCATGCCCAGCTGGGCTCTTCCCTGAGTGAGAGAAAACTGTATCTTGTTTAAGCCTCGGTCTTCTCGGGTCTCTGTCACAGCAGCTGATGTATCCTGACACCAAACCTGCCAGTCAGCCCGTGGCCGTGCCCACAAGTTCTGCCTTCCCACCTGCTGCAGCGCAAGAAGGTCCTGCTCCTAGGAGGCTGGGCGGGCAGAACTCCCAGGAATGACTCCCAAGATCCCACACCCTAGTCCTGGGCCCCATGAACCCAATAGGACATCACTGCTGTGGCTGTGTTGGGTTTTAAGACACAATTGACCTGAAAAAGAGAGGGTTTCCAGGAGGGCCTGCTCTAAACGTGTAAGTCCTTAAATACAGTTGCTCCAACTGGTGACAGAAAAGAAGCGAGAGAGAGACGCAGCAGGAGGGGAAGCTGGAGAGACTGGAGCGCGAGGAGGACGTGCCGTTGGCGACATGAAGAGAAGGCAGGAGCTGGGTGCTGCCAACAGCCGGACAGAGCTGGCAAGTGGGTTCTTCCCCACTTCCCCAGAGCCTCCGGAGAAGTGCAGCCCTGCCCACACCTCGACCCCGGCCTTGTGAGACCTCAAGCAGAGAAGCAAGAGCCACCGTTGTGAGCGCGCTTCTGGCCAAGAAGAGTGTGAGATACTGAGTGAGTGCTGCTGTGAGTAAGCCTCCAAGTTCTCGGCAGTCTCTCACAGCAGCGGGAAACCAATCTACAGGGCCAACTCTGCGCTGTGCTCGGAATCCCACCCCTTTCCCCTTCTGGAGGACATCGCTCCTGCCCCTTTCTCTCCTGCGCCATCAGTTTCTCCTCCACTGGAACATGCCCATCAGGTTCCGCACAGACTGTGACATCGCCCTTTTGAAAGGCCCTCCCCTGGTCCCACACGCCCTCCAATTACCGCTGCCTTCTCTGCCTCGCTCCGCAATGCTCCTCCACAGATTCCTCTCCGCTTGCTGTCTGACCGTTCCGCGATCCCTGTTGTCTCAGCTCCCAGACACATTCAGAACAGAACCATGTCCCCCCTGCACTGCCACCGCCCTAGTCTTCTGTCAGCTCTAGCTTCCCACTGCAGCCGCAATAAACTCCGTGCCCCTTCTGTGGCCTACGAGGCCCTGTGTGGCTTGGTCCCTGCCCGGTTCTTGACCTCATCATGCGTTCTCCTCTTTGCTTGCTCACCTACAGCCACACTGACCTTTCTGTTCCTCAGATGCTCCAGCATCTTCCCACCGCAGGGCCTTTGCACTTGCTGGTCCCTCTGCCCAGAGCACCATTCCCTCAGACCCTCCCCTGGCTTCCTCCTGACCATCATTCATGTCTCAATTCAATGACCCCTCCACAAAGGCCCCCATAAATAAGGCAGCCCTTTCATTATTCTGCGCCATGGTCCTCCATTTAATTTCCTTCGTAGCACTTATTGGGACCTAAAATTATCTTATTTTTACTTTTTTTTTTTTTTTTTGGCCTTTATGAAGTATCTCCTTCTGCTGAACGTGAACTTCAGGAGGGCAGGGACTCTGATCCACTATAACCACACCCATACCTGGCACAGAGTAGGTGTGTAATACACATCCATCACCTTTGCTGGCCACCTCTCCTCTAGTTCTGGCCAATCCCCATCTCTCCAGGATTGCCGTCTCCTGGGTGCCAGTCTCTGCCTCTGCCTACAGAGGTTTGACCTCACCACTCCCCGGCTCAACATCCTCTCTTGGCTCCCCAGTGTCTTCAGGGTAATCTCCAACTCCTCGGCAGGGCTCTCCTTGGCCGTCTTCTCCAGCCTCCCTTGTAGTCCCTTCCCGACCGGAAGCTTCAGGGCGGATATCTTTGTCCCCTACTCCCCACCCACATGGTGATTCCTCTCTCTGTGCCTTTCTCTTTCCGGAGCCCTCCCCTAAATTTTGCTGGCACACTGTAGCCTTTAAGATTCACCTGGGGCATGACCTCTTCCAGGAAGCCCTCCCTGACCCGCTCCCCCAGCTGAGTTAGTAGCACTGCTGTTTGTTTGTCTGTCTGCCCACGAGGCCAGCAGCTCCTCACGGACCCCCCGCACCCTCAGGGAAGTGTACTGGGTGCTGTTCACAGAGCGAAGGGTGACTGGAAGTCGGTCAAGGGTCTTTGGTGATTTCAGGTGGGACCTGCTTATGATACAAATAATGAGACACACAAAGGACAGAGTCACTCCTCTCCCACCTCTGGACTGAAGGAGAGAGCTTAGTGTGGTAATTGTATTATAAGGGGAGTTGCTTGGAAAACCTTTATTTTGGGGGCCTGGAATCCTTCACTCCCCTCCTGAGGCAACTTTTCCTTCTCTCTGGAAGCAGAGGGGATTACGAGGCGGTGACTGTTGTCTAGCATTTTTAGCCTGTGTGCAGCCAGGGGAGATGGGTCACCCCTGCGCCAGCTGCTGGGGCCCCTTCGGCCAGAAGCCCTGCTTGCTGGTTCTTTGCATCTGCGTCTCTGTCAATACGCGGTTTGGGGCCGGGCTGTGGAGCAGCCTGCCTGGCTTCCAAACCCAGTTTTGCTACTTATTAGCTCTGTGATCTTGGGCAATAGTCTCAGCCTCTCTCTGCCTTAGTTTCCTCGTCTGTAAAATGGGGAGAATAGAAGAACCTGCCTCCCAGGGGGCTGTGAGGGCTGAGTGCATCGCTCGGAGGCTGGCATAGCTGGTGCCGGGTCAGCCATCCACAGTGCGGCCTGCCGGACGCCGTCAGGGCACAGAAGGGGGGCCTGACCCCCTCTGATCTGTCTCTGGCGTTGGAGGATTTTTGTCTCTTGTGATTAAAAGGATTCAACACTGCCTGGCTTGGTGCCGCCCCCTCCTCCCGTGGGCAGCTGGCAGCACGGGGACTTTGACACCTGCTTGTCCCCTCAGGCTCAGCAATGCATCCGGTCAGAATTAACAACAGTGTCGTATTTTCCGTGAACGTGTTACATACGTTACCTTCTAAATTAGAGCACATACGCTTTCCTTCTCAAAATCATTTAAGTAAACTTATAAACGAGCTGATCCTAAGAGAAATATTGAGTCAATAAGAGCACAAGTAGTGGGGAGAGATGGCAAAAACCCACGAAGGAGACATTAAAATCCATTAAACCCCGTGTCCCCCAACCTCTGCTTTGAGTGATTTTGAACCGGTTCTCACTCATTCCTCTATCCCATGGGTTCGCCACCTGGTGGCAAGAGTGTGAAGTTACAGGGTATTTTTTGGTCCGGCGGGGAGGGCGGGCAATTTAAGGGCAACAGAATGATTTCGTCCTAGGTGAGAAAGAACATTAGTTAGAATTTGCCAGAAAACATTTTTAACGATTGCAGACAATTTGAACAATCCCAAAGAAGCCTTTCTAGAAAAAAGGCAAAAGAAGAGTGGTAGATATGAGGACTGTTCACAAATATTCAATTCTCCTATTTTTCCTGAGACATGCTAGGATTAGTGCCCTATCCCATGCCCCCTTCCCGCCTCCCCCCACCCCACCCAGGGCCAGCGCCAGTGTGACTGCACAGGGCTCCCCAATCAGAAAGGCCCGGGCGTGGGGTGTAATGTTCTGTGGCCGCTGTCTGGAAATTCATGATCATTTTATCTCTGCTTTTGTTGTGTAAGTGAAGTCCAGCGGGACAAGGCAGCCTGCACCGGGCCGGGCAACTCGGTTAACACAGACTCCGCTTCCTGTCACCTCCTCCACTCTTGGTTGCCTGCTCCCCCTGCCCCCGCCCCCCAGGCCACCTGGCCTGCACTGGGCCGGGGTGTGTGTGACAGTCTGCTGGCTGGAGGGGGAGCTCAGCAGCCATCAGGCCTGAGCAAGCATGTGCATGCCGCCCCTTTCCCCTGGGGTGCTCCTTCAGCCTTCAGCTGGCTCCACGCCTGGGGACTCTTGTCCTCTTTCCAACCTGCTAGTGAGTTTTGTCAGGCCTCCGATGGTTACTAATACACCTAACACCCGCCACAAGCACACCCAAAGTACTTTACGTTCTGAAGAAGCATAATTGTTATTAGGAAATGTATTTGTTGTCTATTGCTGCAAAACAAGTTGTCCCGCAAACTAAAGAAGCTTAAAACAAGAATCCAGATTCATTTATGAGCTCACACAGTTCCTGTGCAGGACCTGGGAGGCGCTCAGCTGGGCACTTCTGGTCCTGGGTCTCGCAGTCAAGATCTCAGCCAGAGTCGCGCTCATCCGAAGACCTGACCACGGCTGGAAGATGCGCTTCCAAGATGTGAGCTGTGGCTGTTGGCCGAGGCCTCCGCTCCTTGCTGGCTATTGACAGGACGCTGATTTGTCACGTGGCCTTTTCCATGGGGCTGCTTGGGCGTCCTCACGGCAGAGAGAGTGAGGGAGCTACAAGGCTTTTCACGACCTAGTATCACAAGTCACACCATTGATTCTGCCACGTTCTCTTTGTTAGAAGTGCGTCA